ACTACGTACGTACTACTACTATACTAGTACGTTACGTATATACTATATATATATATATATATATATACTACTATACTACTACACTACACACACACACACACACACACACACACACACACACACACACACACACACACACACACACACACACACACACACACACACACATATATATAAATTATAGTGGGTTGTATGTGTATATGTATATTCATCCACTTATATTCAATACTAAATACACACGCAGCGTTCTTGATAATGAAACATTACTGGTTGCTATGTCAAACAAGTCCAGGAAATTGTAGGAAAGTATCGTGCGAACAATTGAAAAAACGTATTCCTTAGACACATTTCAAACATCATATTCAGAGTACTTCACATCCACCGTCAAATCCGCCACCTACATACTAAGCTGCCATAGAAACGCTCAAACCAGCGTTGTCGCCACGTGTGTGAAGTGCAGCCGAGTTAGCTATAATCGATCCCTTTCTACTGTGTTCCTTCCAGCCGCTTTCCACAGAGGCTGTATCATGGTCTGCCGTACATGAGTTGTTCGTGTTCCAATGGGACCAAAGGGATCCGTTCGGCGGGACTCGGAAGCGCGTCGATCAGCTTCAAGAACGCTTTGCGGGCATCGTCAGGGTATGGGAAATAGCCTTGCATGTCAGGGGTAGTGTCTGTGTGCTTCATTATATGTATGTAGGTGTGTACACACACTTAGTGCTGGATATGAGACGAATCGTAAGGGTATGGGAAATAACCTTGCACGCCAGGGGTAGTGTCTGTGTGCTTCATTATATGTATGTAGGTGTGTACACACACTTTGTGCTGGATATCAGATGAATCGTCAGGGTATGTGAAATAGCCTTGCATGCCAGGGGTAATGTATGTGTGCTTCATTATATGTATGTAGGTGTGTACACACACTTAGTGCTGGATATGAGATGAATCGTAAGGGTATGGGAAATAACCTTGCATGCAAGGGGTAGTGTCTGTGTGCTTCATTATATATATTTAGGTGTGTACACACACTTAGTTCTGAATATAACATGAAGAAATGAAGACGCAAAACATTTCAACTAATATCGCAAGGAGAGGAACTTCTCTATTTTTATTTACCCCAAACTCGATGTACAGAGAAATTCCCGATCGATACCATGGTTCATTTAAAGTCCTTGTTGAACGGATAGAGAACGATTTTCTGCTCCACTATCTGCAGGATGTCCGGACATATGAACAGCAACTGTTCCGCATTCGTGCCCGCTTTGGCAGCTCTACCGCCTGTCAAGAGACGCATCAGCTGTACGCTTTACAAGCGTGGTATGCGTTCTAGCTCTGGGTTATGTGCATGTAGGTTTATGTGATGGATGTAAATGTTAACAATGGTCACATGTGTGTAAGGGCAGCTGTTTGTAGCTCTAGATCTTTTGCATATAGGTTTATGTGATGGATGTAAATACTACCAATGGTCACATGTGTATAAGGGTAGCTGTATGTAGCTCTAGATCTCCTGCATGTATGTTCATATGATGGATGCAAATACTATCAATGATGACATGTGTATAAGGGCAGCTGTATGTAGCTCTAGATTTACTGCATGTATGTTCATATGATGGATGTAAATACTATCAATGGTAACATGCGTATAAGGGCAGCTGTATGTAGCTCTAGTTCTTCTGCATGTATGTTCATATGATGGATGTAAATACTATCAATGGTGACATGTTTATAAGGGCAGCTGTATGTAGCTCGAGATGCTTGGTGTGGGTTTCGATACAGTATTTACATGTACGTACGTACGTATGTACGTACGTACATATACATATATATATATATATACGTATATGTATATACACATGTATACATATATACATACATACATACTTACATATATACATATATACATGCATACATACATACATACATACATACATACACACATACATACACACACACACACACATTGCAAATACACACACACACGACACTACACACACACACACAAACACACACACAAC